CAGATGCCTTTTTTCTTCAGGAGTACTTATTTAACATGATTAAGAATATAAAAAAGCCCTTGGGTTTTCATTTTGCATATATACTTGGTTATGGAGAAATACTTGTTATGCGATTTCTTACTTTAAAATAAGTTTGTAAAAATGATCAAGTTTCAAATATTGTAACTTTTTTATGAGCCATTATAGTTTTGCTGCCATGACAGGTTTTTGACTTGTTCATCACACCACTCCCCTCCTCCTGAATTCATTGGATTTCTTTTCTCGCTAAAGATTAGAAGAAGAAAGCCTGTTTGATAGCATCCCTAATAACTTACATTTTCTTTTTTTTTTTTTTTAAGATTTTATTTATTTATTTGAGAGAGAGAGTGAGAGAGAGCACATGAGAGGGGGGACGGTCAGAGAGAGAAGCAGACTCCCCGCTGAGCAGGGAGCCCAATGCGGGACTCGATCCAGGGACTCCAGGATCATGACCTGAGCCGAAGGCAGTCGCTTAACCAACTGAGCCACCCAGGCGCCCATAACTTACATTTTCTTATTCACACTCTATCCATTGTGGAATCCATTCCAGTTGTTGTTTTGAATAAATTAGTCTTAGAGCCATTTGACTGCCCATTTAATTGCAGTTATTACTTCTTATAAGGAGGCCATGAAGTTTATTGTAGACGTCACTCTCTGAAAGTAGCTAGTTAAGAGGCAAAACAACAATCAAAAAATGATGAAAATAGCTTTGTGTGACCATTCTTAAGATAATTTTGGATTGAGATAGATTGGAACCCTAGTTAAAGGAATGGAGAGATCTATAGTTCTTTCTGATACGGTATGAAAATGGCATAAACCACTAACATTGGGGAGCAACCAGGTTCAGATTGCTGTTTGGTTGAATTGTACAGATCAACCTGGAAGTGAACTCAGTTGAGGTGCTGTACATCAGAAAAAAATCCTTGTGGAGGCTTAATCCGTGATTCTACATCATAATGTTAGTTGAGAACTTTTTTCAAATAAAGGAAGTCTTCCCTTCACATTATAAATACTGTCAGACTCTTCGTGAGATAATGTAACTTTTATCAGTAGATCAACAAGTCTGTGGCTTTCTTGGTTTCATGTATCTGTTGACTGCGATGCAGGATTTTATTTCTGTTAATCACTTTCTAAGCCTGCTATAGAGATGTCACCTTGGAGTTTCTTTTACCACTTGACTACAGAGTGAATTCTTCTGTTAATTTAATCCTATGTTCTTCCTGTTTCTTGCTTTTCATCCTCTAATTGCTCAGTGTAGCCACAGGCAACATCTTTGGAGGGGACACCCGAGACATAACTTGCTTCAGTTTTTGAATTTCTGGAAATGCTCTCTGTCCTTGCATTTGGTAGGTAAATTATATGTATCTAAAATCCAGTTTCAGTCATTGACACAAGAGCTTTGGAAGCGACTATGCAGTAATGCTGGTTATAAGTCTGAATGTAGTCCAGTTCTTATTCCTTTGTCAGCAATCTGTATCTCTGTAGGTTTTGTGTCTTTGGCAGTTTTTAAAATTTTGTCTTTGGCATTCTCCAAATTCAACATGCTGTCTTGAGATTCTGATTTCAATTTTATTTTGGCTAAATACCCAGATGTGGAATTGCTGGACCATATGATAGTTCTGTTTTTAATTTCTTGAGGAATCTCCTCACCGTTTTCAGTGAATTGGCTATACCAATTTATATTCCTATTAACACTGTACAAGGGGGCACCTCGGTGGCTCAGTTGGTTGGGTGACTGCCTTCAGCTTAGGTCATGATCCTGGAGTCCCGGGATTGAGTCCCGCATCGGGCTCCCTGTTCAGCGGGGAGTCTGCTTCTCCCTCTCCTGCTCCCCCCTCTCGTGCTCATTCTCTCTCTCTCTCAAATAAATAAATAAAATCTTTAAAAAAAAAAAAACACTGTACAAGAGTACATTGGAAAACAGTATGGAGGTTCTTCAACAAATTAAATCTAGAACTACATGATTCAGCAGTCTTACTTCTGGGTATATACCCCAAAGAATTGACATGAAGCTCTCAAAGAGATATGTGAACCCCCATCTTTATTACAGTATTATCCACTTTGGCCAAGATCTGCAAATAACCCAAATGTCCATTGGCAGATTACGGGGTAAAGAAAATGTGGTATGTTACATTTAATGGAATATTATTTCACCTTTAAAAAGTAGGAAATCAGGACATTTGTGACAACCTAGATGAACCTGGAGGACATTATCTAAGTGAAATAAGCCAGTCATAGAAGGACAAATAGTGTAGGAGTCCACTTTTATGAGGTGTCTAGAATAGTTAAAGTTATAGAAGCAGAAAATGGAGTGGTGGTGACCAGGGGCAGGGAAGAGGGGGAAATAGGGAATTGTTGCTCAATGAGTATAAAGTTTCACTTAAACAAAATGAACACATGTTAGAGATTTACTGTACAACGTAGTACCTATAACTAACAATATGGTATTATATACTTTGAAACTTGACCTTATGTTAAGTGTTCTTACTAAAACACACACACACACACACACACACACATGCACAAAAGAACACACGGAAATTTTTGGAGCTGTTGGATATGGTTAGAACCTTGTTTGAGCTGATGGTATCCCAAGTACATACATATGTCCAATCTCAAGATGTATACATTAGATGTGCAAAATTATACCTTAATAAAGCTTAGAAAGTAATTTTTTAAATGATAGCAATGAAAATTCTTATACGAAAAGGAATAATGGAAAATTGTTTTGACTTTCACTTGTGGGACATCATGCTACTTTTTTCAACTAAAAATGAGACGTAGCTTTTGACTTCCCGCACACAACTCCAACCTAATACAATTGAACTTCCATATGAAAGACAAAAAGGGTTCAAGCAAATATGATGTGTTCTGTGAGGCAAAACTATAAGCTTTGACCATAATGTCTCATAAAAATTTAAGTAGGTGCACACTGTGTTATGTTAGTCTAAGGTGACATGTTTATATTGCATTGTGCAGTATCTGCATATGCTTTATGCTACAGTGTGGGTAATTTGTTTCTCTGAAGTATTACAGAGCTCTCAAATGAGATTGCATATTCCTAAAGGAGTGTATCTTCTCTCTTACTACCTTTAGCACAAATTATAGTGACAAACTCATGGTAGCTACTTTTATATCCTGGTTGAGGATGTGAATTTTTGTAGGTGGGTGGGCTTTACTGTGTTCTATAATAAGAGAATGCCTTCCACATTTTTGCCAGTACCTTAAAAATGGGAACTGTTGTTTCAAAGCAAGTCAAGTAAAAACAAAGCAAACCAAACAAACAAAAAAATTCATTCATTCCACTGTTAAAGAAAAAAAAAAAAATCCTAAAGCATTAACCTCATCTTGGGTATGAATGATGGAACATTTAATGTAGACTTGAGGAAAAATCATCAAACAAGATTATTAAGACATGCTGGGGCCAACACTCCACAGAGATGTGGGGCGTATAGATGAAATCTAGAGGGCCCAGGCCTGGCACTTAAGGAATTATAGTATATTCCATAAAAAGATAGAAGCATGTATAATCATAACAGATTATGTTGTAGGGAAGAAGGAACTATAGAAATTCAAGAGATATCCTGAAATTGATAGAATATAGCAGTTTCCTTGTATTGATACTAATGTAATCAACATCACTGGTCAGTAAATGATGCTTAGTAATTATTGTAAATTAGACCAAATCTTTTCAACCAGCATGTCACAACACAGAAAACTATGAACGGGTGATTGGCATGATAAAATATGTTCATCCCCTCAGCCCTTAAGACTGCCAAGTGGTTGGGCCAGCTGGGAGTGACCTTTTTCTTGGTGCTTGGAAAGGTACCTGAGCAGGGTAGAGAGTCCAAGGAAATGTGCCAGGGCTACTCAGTTGTCGAAAAAATTATGCAGCATACACTCTTACGGTTTTACCCTGGAGGAAGTAAGCATGGCCAAGAATGTGCTATACCATCTGGATGCCTACCTCATTAGGAGTTACAGAGCATTGCTCTACCCATTGTTGACAAAGAAACATAGCTTATAAGACATTAGTTGTGAGACTCTGGAACTCTTATAGATTCATAGTCCTTGGTTCAAATAGCACCTCTACTACATATTGTGGTAGTATTGATATTTTCTGGCCTAGTGGGTTGAAAACCAAATGTGATAATTTGTGAATTGCTGGGCAACCCTTATGAAGTCACATTACTTGTGTCTTTCATGTTGACATCACATTATCAATGAGAAATAGAAGATCATTGTCTATTGTAATAGTTAGTTAAAAGTAACAACAAAGTAGAAAAAATTGCTTAAAAAGAGGCAGTAAAATTGTCCTTAAATTAGCAGCTGTGTTTTGCATCTTTATTATATAGTTTTATATGATAAACTTCTACTTGCCAATAAATTTAATCATTTTTATTGTTAAGAATTTCACCAATTTAAAAATATGTAAGAGATACCACATCTTTACAAATATTTATAGCTCCCATCAAATAGAAAGAAATGCTTGTTTTTCTAAAATCAGAAGATTATTACCTGATTTAGATAGTGCTAACTCCCATTCTTGCTTTGGTAAATAAATACAAATATGTGTTATATTTTATTTAACCTTTCCTAACATAATGTATCCCCAAATATTGATTATTTTTTAAAAACCTGAATGTTATGTAAATGGATAAAAGGAAACCTGATTGCTTTTCAGGAAACCGGAGAATTGGTCACACTTTCTACTTTTTGAAAGTTGATCCCTGTTTTCCTTAAACATTGGTAATATGTTGAAAATGAGGATTAGTACAAAACAATATACCTCTTCTACCAAGAAATCAACTTCTTAAATAAAAGTGGTTCTAATAGTAAATTTAACAAAATTTACAAAAACACATTATTCAAAATCTGACTTGTTTCCAAATGATTCCCCTAGTATGTGGAGTAGAAATTTTACACATGTAGGTAACTATACATTCTTTTTTTTTTTTTAATTTTATTTATTTATTTGAGAGAAAGAATGAGAGAGAGCATGAGAGGGAAGAGGGTCAGAGGGAGAAGCAGACTCCCCGCTGAGCAGGGAGCCCGATGCGGGACTCGATCCAGGGAATCCAGGATCATGACCTGAGCCGAAGGCAGTCGCTTAACCAACTGAGCCACCCAGGCGCCCGGTAACTATACATTCTTAAAACTCATTCTGAATATGCTCCCATTTATATGACATCCAGCTTTTCACTTAGGAGAATAGTAATAACAGTGAGGATGGTAGGTAATTTACTACAACATTTACATTTATTCCCTACACTGAAAACTTCATCTTTGTTGCCTTACTTGATCTTCACAACTGCTTCTTTTTTTTTAAAAAAAAAAGATTTTATTTATTCATTTGTCAGATAGCACAAGCAGGGGGAGCAGCAGGCAGAGGGAGAAGCAGATTCCCCACTAAGCAGGGAGCCCGATGCGGGCCTTGATCCCAGGACTCTGGGATGATGACCTGAGCTGAAGGCAGACGCTTAACCAACTGAGCCACCCAGGCGTCCCTCACAAGTACCTCTTGAGGGAAGTTACTGCTATTTTCCAAGTTTATGGATTAGGAAACTGAATGGTAGAAAGATGAAGTAATCAAGCTAACAAAGCTAGCAAGAGCTAGAGCTAAAGTATGAGCTTATATGTGCTATTGACCACTAGGGCATATTGCTTTTAAATACTCCTTCTAAAAAAACAAACCTCTAAAACAAACAAACAAACAAACAAACTTGAGAACCAGAGAGGGAACTAGAAAAGCTAATTAAAGTAACCATGGATGTGGAGGGCCTGACATGTGAGTATAAGTACTTTAATAAAGAACTTGGCATTCTGGAAGCCAATAGCTGAAATCTAACATATGCTGAACTTGTCTAAAATTACTGAGACTAGGAATGAATTTATCTGGTCCACCTGATGCCAAAACTAAGATGATTCTTCAGCTTGAAAGCATGACCAAAATACTCCCTAACCTAGTTATATGCTGCAACACAGTTTTACATCCTTGGTGAGTAGATGAGAAAAACATTTCAAGTGTTATGTCCTTCAAGTGCAAGCATGTCTTTTCCAAATGTTCTGCTGTGCTGTTGTGTTAAATAAAAAAGAAGATAAATATCACTCTTTGTGTTTGTGATAGGTATAGTGTTTGAATGTGTAGGATGTATTAATACATTACAAGTAAGCATCGGTCAAATTGGCATTGTATTATTGTAGGGAATGCCACATTAGATAAATGTTGTTAAGTGTTTATTATGAGTAATACAATTGATGTAAAAGACTGGACTTTTCTTAATCAAAGATAGTGCAAGTTTTTATTCTCAATGTAGTCTTTTACATCCTTATTTTAAAAAGAAAAGAAAGCTAGTCTTAAGGTGATGGTCACTTAATAGTTCATACACAGAGGATGAGGGTTTTAGTTTTTTTAGTCATGAAGAACTTGAATATCAGTTGATGTTTAAGAACTTAATAGCATAAAAATGCAGCTCCCATTCCCTTGGTAGCACTCCCTTTTCATCCTTTGTTTCAAGCATTTCTTTACATAGACCTATTTAAAACATTTGGGATTCATTCATAGTCGATGTACATGTGTAACATTTCTATTAATGGCAATCAAGACAGGAATATTCTCTCTTGTCAAATCCACAGAGAAAACCTCAATTGCTCTGACAGCCTAAGAGACCAGCTGGAAATTTTATATTTGCTGGAAATGGTAATAGAAAAGCAAATAAAAGGGGAAAAGCCTAATTTCCCTTCCCTTGAAACAAATCGACTGAATTTTTAGCCTTTCTGATGAAACTTAGAGGTAGATTTTTCTCTATTTCCAAGCTAATGCTTTCCTTCTTTTAATAACAAAAAATATTTTAATGAAAGTTCTGTTTTTTTTGTAGAAATTATTCTGCACCTCCCCAGTTTTCTTTAGAGGTAGCTAGTATCCAAGTAATAATAGTTTTCCATCAGCCGCTGCTCTTTCTCATAAGATTGACACCAAGTCCCTACTTTCATCAAGTTTCCAACCTATTGGAAAAGAGAATATTTATATGCAAACAGCTACCACACAGGGAGGAGTATGAAGAGTGCCAACAGATTGGGTATAGGCACAATAACAAACCAAGTGTTAAAATGAAACCAAATTTCAGAAGTAAAGAGAAACCACTGATTTTCCTAATTTCAGCATATTCTCCTTTTTATTTTTTTCCATTTTTTAAAATTTAAGTTCAGTTAATTAACATAATGTATTATTGGTTTCAGAGGTAGAAGTCCATGATACCCAGTGCTCATTAGATCAAGTGCCCTCCTTAATGTCCATCACCCAGTTACCCCATCCCTCCACCTCCCTCGCCTTCAGCAACCCTCAGTTTGTTTCCTTTGATTAAGAGTCTCTTATGGTTTGTCTTCCTCTCTGGTTTCATCTTGTTTTATTTTTCCCTCTCTTCCCCTATGAGCCTCTGTTTTGTTTCTTAAATTCCACATATCAGTGAGATCATATGATAATTGTCTTTCTCTGATCGACTTAAGTTCGCTTAGCTTAATACCCTCCAGTTCCATCCACATCGTCATTGCAGATGGCAAGATTTCATTTTTTTGGATGACAATATTCTCCTTTTTAAAATGGCAGCAGATGACAGATGGGAACACTTGATTTCTAAAATCCTTGGCTTCACCATTCTTTCATGCTACCTGTATCACTAGAAAGACGTATCTGGTGGTAGCCAATTCCAGCATCTTTTGACAACACTGATTCCTATAAATGACAAATGCTGAGTGTGGTAAAAAGAGTAGCATTGATGAGGACATCTTGCTGTCTCCATTCTCATGCTTCCTGAGCTTACTCCACTTTTTTTTTCCAGATATGAAACATGTGCACTAGTATCATTTTTAGACTTAAATTTTTTTCTTAGAAAATGTCTTACAGTTGTAAAAATGTCTCACGTAACCTTTTAAGTTTTCCTTATCCACTAATGCTTTGGCACCCATGACTTCTTTTAAATGGGGAACTCCTGAGAAGTTCCCTTCCAACGAACACCTCTCAATCACAGTTATTACTTATGGTAGAATTTTGTTATTCCTTTATGTCACATTTCTTGTACCACCATAGTGAATTATATCTCCATTACTAATTTGTTTGTTGCATGAAAACAGGATTATGCTTAAATGTCATCACACCCACTGTATAGCAGATTGCTTAGAACATAAGGCTTAATCAGTAAACATTTGTTGAATGAAATGAATATTTCCAGGATGTTATAATTGAGGTCTACTCTTAAGGAAATGTTTGTTTCATTTTTAAAAGTGCTTCACCCAGTATGTTAAGCAAAGAGGGAAATAGTATGATGAATCGGTCATACCCACGGGAAACTTACACATGAATTTAAATCGCTATAGAAGGTGTTGCAGACCTATGGAAATCTGTTTTAATTTTGCTAGTAAAATGATGTAATAACAAGTTATCATCCTGAATGATTTTCTTAACAATTACAAATTATTAGTGGGATTATAGGGGGCATTTTCCTCCTAAGCCACACCTTTCTCATGCTTTTAGCCCTTCCTCAAAGCACTGTGAACTCGAACTTTTATTCTTCCCAGAGTTTTCATATCCCTGAAACTATGTAATGCTTTCTCACAACATGAGGCCGGGTACCTAATTGGCACTTAATAAATAGTTAAATGTCTCCCACAAGTAACAGATGCTGCCAACAAGATCTTGGCAAGCCCCAGATTCTGTCAGTTTATGGTTGAAATCCCTGACGGAAGCCCAAAGTGCTGATTATTTGTGTTGTTGACTAAAAAGAGAGCAACGTGCTTTAGGCCCTAGTCATGCATGTGGCAGAACAGGCCTTCTGTTTGCGATGTGAGGTATCTGTCACATAGTTCTGCTCAGACGTAGACCTGCTCTATTTCCCTGTGGAGGTGAGCTGTAGGGGATCCTGGGGGGAAGTAATTACCTGATTGATGAATCACCAAAAAACGTCAGTTAGGCCCTAGGCACAGCTGAATATGGTCCAGGTACTTTCAGAACTCAGCATTCTGAAGAAGTGTAGGATACGTTTGCTGTTGGGGGTTTGGTTTAGCGGTAAGAGTGCCTTCTGCTCGGTGTCACTCCTTTAGGAATGGCCGAGTAAGAAGTTTTTCTCCATCTGATTCTTATGTAAGGTGTTGTAGTACCTATACACTAGGTGACTTAGAAACAACAAATTTATTTCTCATAGTTCGGTAGGCTGGGAAACGTTAAGATCAAAGTGCCATCAAATTCGATGTCTGGCGAGGACCTGATTCCTGGCTCAAAGAGGGGCTGCCATCTCATTGTGTCCTCATATGGAGGAAGGGGCAGGGGAGCTCTTTGGGTTCTCTTTTACAAAGGCATTAATCCCATTCACTAGGGCTCCACCGTCCACCGTCATGATCTCGTTATCTCCCAAAGGCCCCACCTCCAAACACCATAACATTGAAGATTAGGTTTCAGTCTTTGGATTGTGGGTGGACCCATTCATTCTGTAGCATAAGGGCATGTACCAGCTTTGTCCCTCTGTATTTATCAGTTCACTTTTCTCATCAAAGCATGTGGAATTTGATCATCTATATATTCTACTGGTCACCTGCCGTAAGCATTTGTATACAAAAGTCCGTAAGTCTCCTTCCCACCATTTTACTTGTAGTTGGAATGTGTCAAACAACTGTTCTGAGACCAGACCCCTCTTGTTTTCCCTTCCATATTGCAGCGCATCCATGAGGTATGATTTTCAGAGTGGTTTAGATCACTGTTGAGACTCATTTCCCTTTAATTAGTTCAAATTCAGTTTAAATTTGATAGCCTTAATAATATTTAAATTCTACAGTTTAGTTTACCTATGTGTAATATTGCAGATAAGCTACATATGACTTCTTACAAGTTTTGGAGAAAATTGATCTTAACAGCTATTGAGGTTTTATTCTAGTCCCTTCTGAGAGTTGTATGTTTCATTGTTCTTCTTAAAATCAAGCCTACTTTTCAGTTATGTTGGTTCCATAGTCCCTTTTTCAAATTATAGGGATTATTACAAAAATCCTTA